GAGATTGGCATTGGACAAGTGTTAGGCGTACAATTAAAAGACGTTAAACTCCATGTAACATTTGGTTGGCAAACAATCTGCGGATTTCCGGTTCCAAAATATCCAGCATTGCATTTATAACGAGCTGACATCCCTATAGAAGTTGATGTGAATAACAGCGTGGAGTGTTTGATTTCAGTTGGACTAGAACATCTAGAATTCACACAACGCTTTTTCAAAATATCGAACCTTTCCAAAATGTTACAATTTTCGTGATCCTTGTCGGCATTATCAGATGCTTTGTCAACTTTCATATACAAGCAGACTGGATTTGATTGCGCATACGTTTTATTTTTTACAGATGTATCAAAATGCGCACATTGTTTCAAACGGTGTGAGAACATTAGCACTTCACAATTTGATTGACGTTGACAATGGAAAAAACATTTCTCGAATGACTCCCCATACACGACCGAAAATGATTGTGATATGTCACACGGTTTATAAAAGACATGATTACTTTCCACCGAAAGCTTCAAAAAACTACCTCCAACTATTCGAAATATTACAACGTTTAGAATAAAGTATATTCTAGGCGAAATGTTGAACAGGGCCACCATTTTGCCACCTTAAATCCTTGTCAGAACAAAATGCAGTGAACAATTGGTAATAGATTATTCCAGATGAAGTGAGATATGTTGTGTTCGAGACATCTGTCGCTCACCCTCGTTTTTTTCCTAAAATTGTTCATGTTTTGAAAATTGTTGTCTGCTAGAAGTGCATTTTGTTGGGGCTTTATATTATTTTATATTATTTTCTATATTGAAATTAAAGAGCTGATGCCAAGTAGGTCGGTATCTGACAAGACGGTGCAGTAATTGTTAGTGCCTGGTCAGGTCCCAAGTCTATTGTGGGGCTAAAGTCTTAACTCGTATTTAGGTTTTTTGTTGTTTGTTTGTGTTTTTTTCTTTACTACCTTAACTATTCTGATACCAACATTCTATTTCAATGTTTGTAGACATGAATCATCATGATAATGATTTGGAACTAAAACAGGGATTCCAAATTAAATGATATTTTAAGATCGTCCATTCAGGAAAAAGTCCCCGTTTCACAATGTTAAATATTGCACCCAAATGTTGTAAAACAAATCCCAAATTGTGTTTAAATATAACCAAATTTTGTTTAAATAGTTCAAATTTTAATTTACCAGGATGTTGTTAGACGTGCATCTGCTCAAATTGTATTAAATGTATCTAAACATTGCTAAATGTGCCGAAATGTTGTTAAAAATGTCGAAATATTGTAACATGTCACCAAATATTTTGTATTGTTCCCAAATAATGTCAAATGCGCTTCAATAGGATAACCCATGTGTTGTTAAATATTTCAAATTTTCATAGAAAGACGATTAGTTGAGCTGAATAATAGTTGACACATATTTGCAGTTCCTGACATTATTAAAGCACAAACATTTAAAACAAGCTACAATATATTGATATTTCTGTCTAATTAATTTTTCAATTAAAGGTTTGAAAAGATATTATCTAAAGTACATAAAACAGAGTGAGTGAATGCACCAGCTGCTTTTCAGATGCATTTAAATCTCACTGATGAAACACATTTAAAATCTTTAAAACAAATTTGTAGAGAGAACATATCAATACATTTCATTGTTTTTATGATTATTGTTAAACAACCGCTTTGTTATTATAGAACATTAGGCCCACTGATTTCCTAGCAGTTTCCGACCACAAATTCGCACTTTTTAACAAATGAAATAAAATTATGTCTACGGGTGAGTACAAAAGTCTGACAGTACAAAGTTAGGTACCTGTCCTGCATTATAATTTTTTAATGTTTCTCTTTTACTTTACATTTCAACTGGAACATTGGCCTGAAATGTATCATCTTTTTTCATATCTATTCAAAATTTCATAGCAGTTTTTCGGACCTTTTTATCTTGAATATAATTCAGTACCAGTAAACAATGTAAACAATGTAAAACAATATAAAGATGATTTTATCAAAGAAATAAAACTTCCAGAACTTTTCCGTGTTGTCTGCAATATATTGTTCAGAGGTATTGATTTACCAAGAATGGGATATGGGCATTCAAAACCTAGAATGGGATATGGGCATTCAAAGTAGAATTCCTCAGGTGTTGCTTTTTAATGTCTAAAGTTCTCATACGTAACATTAAAGAACAGACAAAACTTTGCTGTACTATTTTAACTGCTGTGTTGCATAGAACCAATGTCTCTCTGTTATAATGAAGTAACATAGATGCCTTACTGGTAAAAGTAGACTGTATTGAATAAAAATGATAAAAAGCCAGAAAAGTGATTCATGTTTAAACTACATATGACGTAAGAGGATAAAATGCATTTATCAATGTTGTTCCAAAACAGACTCAAACCAAACTTCTTTTTTTAGACATTTGATACATATGTGAATATAATAATCCATATGTAGTTATTTTTAGAGATTCAATAAAAAATGCTGATCATTAACGCTTACTTCTGTAAATATCTTAATTTGACTTGTCCATCTTTTTGGAAAACTTTCAATATATGTATTGACTAAATATCGAACAGTGGTTACGACGGCATGGATGACATTAGTTTACAGCGGTCGCAGTGGTAAAGTCCTTTGCCGCAAACAGTCTAAGGTTAACGGATGAAGATTTGACCATAAATAGAAACCTTACGTTTTCTCAGGCGGTGCTGGTCACTTTCATTGTGATTGATTATGAAATATTACAACGGTCATTCACACTGTACCTCTGTCCTGGCATGTACATAAGTTACCAGTTACTTGCGAAAATGAGGGCAGTTAGTACTGGTTTATTGCTGGACAGACTGTCTAGAAACGATGCAATTGCTGAACTGTGCTCTAATAAATTACTGTCGTCATCCAGCGGGTAAACACCACCGTTCTGTCGCAAGTCAGCCTGCATAGCTAAATCGGTTAGATCGTGAGACTTGTAATCTCGACATTGTAATTTGATTCTCGGGCTGGCCAACTAAAATTACTTTTTCGGATAAGATATTTATCGCGGTCCCGTGTATGAGTGATAAGACACTTGGAAAGCTTAAAGAAGCAGGCGAATCTGCTAGAATAAAGGCATCTTTCTGTTTCTGGCACTGTCCTTAGGAAGTACATATGGGCAACCATTAGCAAATGTAAATAAACGCAATGATTATTACGCTGTTTAGTGATCATATGTAGTATTTTAATTTGTACTGATCAAGATCACGAAAAGAGGGTTGGGTGAGAAAATGAATTGTTTAAGTAATATCACTTTATGTCAATCGATAATATGTAACATGTATTTGTATAATATTTAATGTCAAACTTGTTGGAGATAATCTGTTTACAGTATGTAATATTAATTGTTCATTCAGCAGGTGTCAATATATATAGAAGCCTAATGAGCTTTACCTTTTGAAATGTTCTGTACAGTAAAATGGGGAATAGAATACTTTTATAATTCTTGTTACTTTTACAGCATTTAATGAACTTAGATGTTGCATATCAGTTTTTTGTACATTTTTTTTCTTTGTTGATAGATTTATAGTCACTAAATAGTTATATTGTTTAACGGCTTATCAAAATGCGAGAATGGTCTCTTAATCCTTATTAACCCAAGGTGCTGCAGTGCAGTTTAATTAACAAAATAAATCGAGATTAACCTAGAAGTTGAAGTTGAATTATTATTCTATTGCTACTGGACCACAGGGTTTAATGGATTAGATCTTCATCTCATTATACCCTGTGGCCAAGTAGAAAGACATCAAGTGCCCGTCTGTGCATTATTTCAGGCACGACCGGGCACCTGACTGAATCCAAAGTACCTGGGGGACTTGTATCTACAGCAGTGAGTGGCAAGTGATAAAAAAGTAACTTTAATCTAGTTTTCATTGCTGGTATGTGACGCATAAATATTACTTAAATTATAGAAATAAAGTTATAGTCGTTTTTATTATTTGATCATGTTCTGCAAAGGTATCAGGTGAATCCAATATGATTTCGCAAGAAAAATCGTCTTGATTAAAAAAAATATATTGATGATCATGGACATAATATGTCAAAGTTGTAACAATTTTTTTTAAACTTAAAGAAAAGATAATCTAAATTGTTAACGACTTTAACAATATTTTTACAGATTCTGATTTTCAATGTGTAAATTATTTTCTTTCTTCTCTTCGCAATATTTTACATTTTAAAAACATTTGTAAAACATTTTCATGAAAATTAGAATAAATCTCGAAGCATGCCGCTTTAAAGATACAACCAAATAACATGGTGTTATATATTAGTACACATAACAATATATTATAGTGTTTACATACTGATTTTACGTATAGATACGTAGTTCGGGATTCTTTGAAGACAACATAATAAAGAGCTAACTGTCTATATCGTAAATCAATTTTTAAACCCAAAATTGTACTTAAATGATACACATTTAGGCCTACCTTTAAACGTCAATATTTAGATATTGACAACGCGATCGATATAGGGGTTACTTTTAGTAAGTAAACCGATAAGTTTTACGAAATTACGCATTATGTGGTTTGGAAATTCCAAATTTGTTAACCTTTTGTATCTTACGCTTAAATTATAGTAGTTAGATTGACGTTAAAGATCCTGTATGTTTTGTGATTGATATTGTTACTGTATGTATCATACACTTGGAAAATATTATATATGTATATAATTATGCAAATAAAACAATTTTCAAACATCCAAGAATATGTAAAATGTGTACTGCAAATATTTGTTCACATTATATTTAATGAATAAGTTACATGCATTCATTTCTTATTTGAAAATTTGACTTGGAATTTATAGAAAATAAATTTCTAATTACCTCCCTTTATTTACGCAAAATGTTAAATTGGGTAATATCTTTATAAATAATGCTTATTTGAACTTACAAGATTGACAATTCTTAATTTAAGCGTCATATTTATCAAATAAAACCATGAAAAAAATGTGTTACAGGATCTTTAAACATTTTAGCATGCAATGTACTTTTAGGAATACTCTACTGCCGTGGATTTATATTTAGACATAAATGCTATTTTATCTAAGATATGCTCAGATTTAAACGTGCATGATGAAATAGAAAGACAGTTTGTTCGGACCCTTTATACAGAATGGCTACCGCAAAGAAACAATACAGCGAAAAGGAACTTATTGGGAAAGGAACTTTTGGCAAAATATACAAAGCTAAAAAACGAAGTTCAAAGGGATTTGAGGTAAACAAAGTTGAGAGTCTAATCTTTCAAAATAACTCCTATTTATCTAAAAAATGTATATCTTAACTTACTTACAATAAACTTATATAAATGTGTTTTTATATTTTATTTATTTATTTTTTGTTTTGTTGGGTTTTACGTTGCACTAACACAGTTTATGTCTTATGGCAACCTTCCACTTTCCGACTTTTCTGTTGGAGGATGACCTCAGGTGCCCTCCGTACATTTTTTCGGGCTTGAACGGGCACCTCAATAGAGCCGCTGACGTTCCATAAGCTAGCTGGATAGGTTCCACACGTGTTGAATCCGACGACGTTTGCGGGGCTCGAACCTTCAGTATTGAGAGGAAAGTCGTTTGGAATCAACGATCTCTTATAGTTTTAAAAACATTTATAAACAGTACAAAAATATAAATTATGCAAATATGTTTATAAATCCCAACCCAACAAAATATCTTAAATGGACTTGCCCATCTTTTAATCAAGGCAAAATCATTTATCAGTTTTAGGGAAATTTTCTAGAATAGCGCACAGTTTAAACCATGATATGGTGGCGCCCATAGTATTCCGTAGTCGTCTGCATGATAAGGGTTGATGACTTTCCAAATTGTAATATAAAAAAAAATGGTTTTAAAGAAAATGACTTTATTAAACTTATTCATAAAATTTAATCAACACAAACAATGTTGATGTTAATAAATATTTGAAAGCTTTACGTATTATAAGGATATAACACAGTTTCGATTATAATGTCATAATGTTATGTTATGTTATATTACTAATATAATAAGAATAGAATTAATTACATTTTTTTTGCAACCTGAATTACACTAAAAATGTGTATTGAACATATACATCTTGAAAAAAATCAGCTGCTTAAAGCTACATGTATATATTTGCTGCAAAGATCATTGATTGAATTTTGAAAAAGAGTAATTTCAAAATACCCTTTTGAAAGAAATATGTTAGCATATATTTCGTTGTTAGCAAAGGCGCATGTATACAAAATCATTAACCCTTTTAATAGAAGCATTTTTTTTTGTTCCGAAATATTTTATTCTTATATTAATATATGTTAAATAACAGAGGCATTTCATGTTACAACTCTTTCGAAAACTGATTGAAAGATTTTAGAAACAAATTTATTTTTACTGTTATATTAGTTTTATAATTTATAAAAAATATTTCATTACGTTTAGCTCTTTACTGTACCCTTAAGAACAGAAAATTGATGTTTCTTTCAATTTTTTTAAATGCTATTCAAAATTGACATTTCATGTATTTCCGATATCCTTCTAATATAACCTTAAGTTGAGACATTCTTTTCATATTTCTTATACAAATTAAAATAAGTAAATCATTATTTTTTCATATTCGATCAATTGTATAAATGCGGAAGATAAATTTGCTTTAATGTTATTGGACGCTTTAAATAGATTTATCCAAGACCACTGCCAAGTTTACGAAGAAAAACAATTTTGTAGCTTTTCATAAGCTTTAATCAAATTACATCTACGATATGCATCTGTTCAAAACTTATATTTGTACATACATAGTAATTTCAATGTTATTTAAAACTCATCAAAATGCGAAATGGATAAATGAACACGAAAACCGATTTGGAAATCTTCCAAAGAAGCAAACATCTTCAGAGTCCTTCAATTATAACTTCCCCCATCGATGATTAACGTTTTAATAATATACCAGACCAACACTGTTTTTTTTAATTAATAATTAATTAATTAATTAATCAATTAATTAATTTATTAATTTATTAATTAATTTATTTATTTATTTTGATTTTGTTGTTGATCTCCATCGACAGTGTTTTTTTTAGTATTCTTACTACTCAGTAATTTTTAAAAAGGTATATTCCATGCCACGTATTTACAAATTAAAGCTCATATTTCGAACCCTATTATTTTTTAAATTGAGCATTTAAACTGCGGGGTAGTCAATGATTTTAATTAAGGTATCATGTATCACAACCAGTAGTTGTGTAATGCGAGACGTCAACGGGTTGAACTTGCACTGATATTTCCATTTATCTAAAATAGGCCAAGGCTAGAACAAAAAAAATTATTTGTTACAAGTCAAGGCAAAAGAAAGTATATAAAGTATATGAACAACTGTTTTTATAAACACTGGCAGGGTGTATTCCATAACCCTTCCTTAAAACGTCTGTACATGTATAGCGCATAGTAGCAAAAAGCTTCTGGATTCCCAGACCAAAATTCATTAAATGGGCATGCCTTCGAATTTATGCTAATTTTCATGACAATTATTAAAATGTACACTGTCCAGTAAACAAGCAAAGTAATTTACACATTGCAATCTACAAAAGTTTCTACAAATAGGTCACAATATATGAAAAAAAAGACCTTACTGCGTTAGTCACGCAGTTCAAGTATGGTAATAAATACTGCAAATCAGTCGTTAAATGCATATAACTTGTAAATTATTACTTAAATATTTTTTCATTCCTTAAAAGCTTAGGATGTGTTCATTTTTCTCAAGTTTGATTTTCTTGAAATATTTTGATTCATCTAGAGGCATGCAACTTTAAATTTACGCACATTGCACGCATGCACAACCACACGCTCACACTGAATCAGAATCATTTTAATGAGTATGCACAAACATGTGGACATGCACGCACGCACAAACCACACGCTCACACGAAATAAGAAATGTTTTTATGAGTATATTTATACTTTATTGTAGGATTTTGTTGCTATAAAGGAGATAGACCTGACAAAATGTACCGAAAAGGACAAAGAGCATGTTCAACAGGAGGCAGAGGTTATGCAGACGTTTCAACATGAAAATCTCGTAAAATTTATAGAATCGTTTTGTACGGTAAGTGACTTTCACTTCAGTGTTGTTATATTTTTCTGGTCCTTCCGGATCATTGATGCCAGCACTATTAAGTGTTGAGAATTGAGTACCGCTCAAGCCGGTGCTAGGGGGCGTGAGGGATGTAGCACGTATTCATTATCCCTCATGTACAGACTCAATCAAACCGAGTATGCAATTCTCTTGTAATTTTGTTGTGATTAATGCTTCCGAGGGATCACTTTGTTTCCAGATTTTTTTTTTAATAATTATTATGAATAGGATCTTAGTTGCCGTTTTATATAGACTTACGTTAGTGCAGATAACATTAGAAACACCTCGCAGATTATTCAAAATCAGCTCAAAGTAGTTCTGCCTTTGTAAACTGATTTTTTATAAGTTTTATCAGATCATTATTCATTGTTTACAATTTAAAAAAAAAACATTTCAGGGTAGATGCCTCACTATAGTTATGGAACTTTGTAATAAAGGAAACCTAAGGACATTGATAGCCGACAAGAAAGGTTTAGACGAAGAACAGTTTATAAGCACATTGACTAAAATTGTACGAGGGCTTAAGGTAAGCTTTTATAACATAAGGTTTTTTTAAAGGCCTATTATGCTTCAGAAATGCTTTAATTTTTTATTTCTCAAAAACTTTTTTTCTCGATGTACTTTTCTTGTTTCCAAAAAGTTATTCATTGACCATTTACCTGAAAAATCTTTTCTTCTGTTGCTTTTTGGCAATAAGAACAGTTATAGTGTTTTAGTTTTTTTTTGTATTGAAGTCAAAATACTACTTTGTTTACATTTTGCTATTTATATGACAAACAATTACGTTCTTCGGATTACGTTATACATGCTCACACGCCAATTTCTAAGCTATAAATGTCACGTTTGCCTTTTTTTAAAGAAATAAAACAAACTATTTGTTTCTGAGGTATAATGTGTCTTTAATTGAAAGTTAAACGATATTATCACACTAAAAAAACGCGTTTATCTTTTTTTTTATTTTTACATAATGGCAAGGAACATACCTGTAGTGTCAATCAGTTAAGTTCGCGCATCTTTTTTTCACTTAATCATTAGGAGGGTCACTATATCGTCTATATCATTGAGACAAATATTTGCAGTGGCGCCAAAGAATTCAAGTTTTATCAGTTGACTGGAATTACATAATCCATAATGATATACCGTATAACAGATATTTCTCGCAAGCATTTAATTTTCGCTATATCCGCGTGCAATGAATATAGCGGGGAAAAAACAGATTCACTAAATTTGAGCTAAATTTGCCTTCAATTAAATACGGGATTTCAAGAGCTTTCTGACAAAAGAAGTGGTCTCTCTTTGTCAGCAGAAAAAATCGCAAGAAAAGAAACATGTACAACAAAATATTTCAAATTAGATTCGCTGCCAGAATCGCTACGCAAAGGTTACCTGTAATAAGATATTATAATTAAGCATTATAAATCAATAAGAGGTAAGTCAAATAAAACAGTATATATTTCTAATATCTTGAAACGTCGTTTTAAAAAAAACCCACGAAGCATTACTTATTGATATTTATATTGCCTAGAAGTTACGACATTATGTGAAGTCTTTTCAAAGAGCATTATCTTGTCTACAGCGTTTGTTTCCTAACTGCAAGCTGTCAGGCAATCCGCCTCGGTCCTGAAATTGTTCTCGTTAGCACCGCATCCGCCGTACATAAATTCATAACACAGTCCACTTTGCTGGTCGAAGTAATAACGCGGTATCATTGCCATGCATCGCCCAGTTTGTGGAGGAGCTGTACAACCGCATGTCCTTTTACATTCTTGAATGGTTCTAAAGTTGTTTCTATTTGCCCTACATCCGCCGTATACAAAGCGTGTACACAGTCCAGATACTCTGTCAAAATAATACCTTGGGAAATTTGCCCGACATGGTCCGGTTTTCTTGTTCAAGAGACAGACTGAAGTTGAAAATATATACAAACATCAACAATAAATAGAATTTATAAATGTCCTTCATAAGTTGACATTTCATCGGGAAGTAAAATTCGACAAATTAAATCTTTACACGCATTTCTATTGTACGAGATTTTTTGTCTATTGTTTATATTTGTGTTCTGTGCTGAAATATCTTTCCTGTTTGAAAAAAAAACGAAGCTTTATTTATGTTTGCTTGTTTGTCTTTCTGTTTGTTTGTTTTTTGTTGTTGGTTTTTTTACGCCGGTTTCGATCATATCACGGCTTTGCTAAAATTTATCTCAACGAGTGACTGACTACTTCTCCATTAAGGAAAATATTTCCGGACCCGTCATATCAAAATAAATAAATAAATAAATAAATAAATAAATAAATAAATAAATAAATAAATAAATAAATAAATGAATAAATAAATAAATAAATAAATAAATAAATAAATAATAATAATAATAGAAATAATAATAATAATAATAATAATAATAATAAAAATCAGTAGAGTACCATTTAATGTCCGAGATGATTTGTGACAGAGTATTATTTTTTTTAATAAAAGTTCTATAAACATCTCTAAAAAATACTTTTTATAATACATGCATTGTTTTATGAAGTTTTATTTATCAAACCCTCAAAATTGTATCAAGAATTATTCAGAGCACAGAGTAATAACAAAGTAAAACTTAAAAAGAAACGTGCATTAATTTTAATTCTTTCTTCCCTAAATGTAAGCTTTTCCTTTAAATTTAAACAATAAAATAACTTACTATTCTGACTCGATACTAGTTCAAGTCCAACTAAAGTGAGAAGCAGAAACAAAAAAGCTGTATGAGCTGATCTAGCCATTATTTCCGAAGTAGAGCGAAACTTTAAATGCGCAAAACACTGGCTGTACCATTCTTACGTATTTCTAACGTAACAATAGTTAAATCATGTGGTCACATTCAACCAGTAGTATAAAAGGTGAATTGTTGTAAACATGTTCGCGACATGTAAACATAGTTTGTTGTATTTTCATTGTTTTTTTGCGATAATTTTACCTCTTCCCATGCACAGCAGCTGAATATTACAATGTTTTATCAACTGAGGTAAATTGTATATTGAACATTCGTTTTGTTTATTGATATTAGCTCAGTTTGCATGTATACATGCAAATACATGTATACGAGAGCAGCAACATTATATAAATAAAACATACAACGTCACAATGATGAACATGACATAAATATTGTTAACAAACGTTAAAATGTATTTCTAACATTTTTGTGTATCTTTTCAACACAGTTGTATTCGATTTAATATTTGGCGCGTGTATACATGTACTAAAGTTACAAAACGTAATAGGCATATCTTAGTTGAAACAAATACAGAAAACCCTGAAAAAACTGGTACATTTTAATGCCTTTATTTTTATACTTTAAGAACAATATTGCAATAAAAATTTATTCTATTTTACAACGAGTTATTGCTGTCAAAGAGACATGTTCTAGAAAATTGTATCGCACGTGTTTGTTTGTCGTCTGCATCATCATGCGCCAATCAGTCAACTTGTTTGTGTTCAACCTTTTTCAGTATCTACATGACAAGGGCATCATACACAGGGATATTAAAACCACAAATATCCTGTTGCATGAACAGAATGACGAATGTCAAGTTAAAATTGCTGACTTCGGACTGGCAAAGTAAGTGTTGAATATGTAAATAATTATTTACAAAATTGCACGTTTGTAACGTCGCTTTTCATTGGATAAAATTAACTTTTATATAAACCATATTCAAGGCGGTTGTCAATTTATAAGTTATTTTATTTTTATCTTTTCAAAGTGAAATTTTGTAGTATTTTAAATATATTATTTATAAACAACCGTTTAAATAAGGTTATGTAACATGCCAAAATCTTTATAACTAACCACACATACTGATTTGATTCATTGCGTTAAGTTATTAAAAGAAATCTGTAATCATTTGGATGATCGCAACGTTTTATTAATTTAAAACATTAAACCACTAAAATCTTTTAGCTATTTTGCAAATTATTTTCCATTCCATTTGTTATCAATTCCATAAAACTTGGCCACCTAAGTGTTTGCTATTGAATCAATCTGACAAAAGTTCAAATCTATGTAGATCTGATTACGATATATATATCTTTAATATATTTCGCCAATTTCCCGTGAAAGCTATTTTTATCCATGCAATTGAACCTGTTTTTAACTTTTTACATAGGCATTAGAAGAAGTATCAAAATACCGTTATTCGTGGAAGTTAAACAAATTGTTGATTTTTGTTAGAAAAAAATGTTTGAAGTAATTTTTAAAAAAAATAACTTGAAATCAAAGAGCCAATTTTTGATGGGCAAGATTTTTTGCCAGTTTCCCTGGCGGCTATACGGACAACGCCATATGTTTGTTCTCGAAAAATCGTGAAAATTACGCACTCAGTATTGGTTTTCCCAGAACTAGATCACAATATCTTTACTATTGTAGAATGATGAGCATGTCGTCACCAACTGTTTATGTTGGATCCCCTTACTTCATGAGTCCTGAAATGATAAATGGAAAAGAATACGACATGAGTGTAAGTATTTGAAAGTTAATGTACTATCGAGGACGAGTGAGACACAAAAAGTGTTGAATACAGATCATTTTGTGATCATGATTTCTGCAAGCGCACACAAGAGGTACTGTTCCAACATTATAGCGAGTCTTAAATCCACCCGTGACAGCATGGTCAGAGTTGCTGTCCCAGCAACTAACCAGCAATTCACCTTTGCTTCGCTACACATACCACTGCCATCATAGTTGTTTTATCAAATATTTGATAAAATTTATGTGTGACTTAGAGTGTTCAAAGTTCAAATACATTCCTTATTATATTTTGTCACAAAGCTTTGTGAGCAGTTAAAATTTTGATTGATCTTGTTGTGCTTCATGCTTTTTCATTGAAAAGAAACAAACTAAACTATTTTAAGCGAAACGGCTCGCAGGTAAAATCTTAAAAAAATATCTTAAAATTCACACTTTTAGATATATATTTTCCAGTTTCCAAAACAAACACCTTCTATATATAACATGCAAAGTGTTTATTTTCATACAGACTGACATTTGGAGTCTAGGGTGCTGTGCTTACGAGATGGCGACAACAAAGGTACCTTATGACGCGAAACTCCTAGAAAGTCTCAGACGAAAGAAAAGCGAAGGACTTGTAAGTTTTATATTATCATTAACCTTTACCCTTCAGAAGCTAAATGTCTTTAATGAACTTGCCCATCTTTCAGTCTGAATAAAACCATTCAAAATGCAAATCAATGTACTGACTGATTTGTGAACAGTGCAGACCATGGGGCGGTCACTGAAGAAACGGATGTGTCGGGTGATCTTGGTCTGAATTGGCTGCATATGGATCTGTTGTCACTAGAAGGTCATAAGGTTAATTTTTATATTAAGGTAGATGCATATTAATGCAGATTGGCGAAAGATGCATATAATACGTAATTTTGGATTATTCAAACAGACAAAGCAACTTGAGGCATGATACTATAGGAATGACGAAAACCTATGTCTGTTCAATACTATTTCAGGTAGACTATTCTGAAATTAAATACTGTAGCCTTATGCGAGACCTGATTTCAGCGATGATGGAAAAAAACCCATCTCAGAGGCCCAAAATAGGGGATGTATTAACTTTCTTAGAGCAGCATGATCTTACCACTCACACAAACAAAACACAAGGTATTGGAGATAATTTCTTGATAATTATTCTGAATAAAACTTACTTTTACCAAAGGGAAAGAACCCTGTGTGTGATTGTCTATTATCATGAAGAGGGCGTTACATGTGTACCTCCGTTTTTGTTACGTCAATTTTCATTGAATAATTGCTTATATCGTCTTATACTGAATTCTTTTGGACGAATTCACAAAGCTGTGTATTCATGAGTCCAATGAAATCAGATTGATCTTAACAACGTATGATGACATCTTTATTTCACACCAGCAATATATTTTGACAAGACTTCCGGCTATCTGGCTAACTTCACGAACATAAGATATATATGGACTTTTTGGACTCTGGAAATGAAAATAATGATAAATTGATGAGATCCGATCCAATGATGATTTCTATTGGAATATTTTGTGGTGCACTTTCTGAAACTTCATTGGTTCGAAATGGACAATGAAACTTCGTTATTTATTATGTAATTATTACATATTTTATGACAATAAACAAGTTTAATTAATATAGTCATGAAGTCATACACGATTTTGCATTGCTATAATAATTAAGTAAATGCATGTGTTGTTTAAGTACAGTAGTGGTTATTTGTACCGTTTAATGTAAATTTATTTGAAATGCTCGAACTATTTTATTTCTTATAATCCCTGTATATTTTACTTTTATTTGCACTGTACATAGTCAAAGACGGTCGGAGAAAAGAACATCAGTTAGCCATGACATGGCCAGGACAGATACCAGGTGGCTACCCTAAACAATACCATGACACTAGTGGTTATGATACACACGAAGACAACAGTAAATTACTATTATGATATTTTATAACTTTTCATGATGCAATATAGCTTCTGGGTAGATACATATGTAGTGCAATATAGCTCCTGAGTAGATATATATGTGATGCAATATATATAGCTCCTGATTAGAGATATATGTGATGAAATATAGCTTCTGGGTAGATATATATGTGATGCAGTATTGCTCCTGGATAGATATATATGTGATACAATATAGTTCCTGTGTAGATATATGTGTGATGTAATAAAGCTCCTGGGAAGTGGGTAGATATATATGTGATGTAATAAAGCTCCTGGGTAGATATATATGTGATGTAATAAAACTCATGGGAAGATATATATGTGATGCAATATTGCTCCTGGATAGATATATATGTGATGCATTATAGTTTCTTGGTTAGTTAGACATTGTATATAAATGTGATACAATATAGCTCCTGTGTAAATTTATATGTGATACAATATAGCTCATGTGTAGATAAATATATGTGATGCAAAACAGCTCCTGAGTAGATACATTTATGATGCAATTAAGCTCTTGTGTAGCATAGCTCCTGGGTAGAGATATATGTGAATCAATATAGCTCCTGGGTAGATAAATATGCTATGCAATATAGCTCCTGGGTAGATATATATGCGAGTCAATATAGCTGGATTATTTCGTTTTATTATTTTCTTTTACTGTGTTGTTGCGGCATTTAAACGAACAAAAAAAACTTTGTTCTAGTAACAAAGGGTAAGGAAATATACAATTTTGCCGGAACTCGAACCCGGGACCTTCAATATACTTGCCTGCAGCTTAAATTACTTAGTTACAGAAATGCTTAACCTTTTCCATCTTCTCTCAATGTAAATTCAAAGTACATGATATTTTCGCCTGCCCTACGGCTAGCTCTTAGTGTACGTTTATTGTGTTTGGATTGAGTGGAACTTTTGAAATCGCAATTGAATTATATAATGTTTTTTTTTTCTTTTCGTAGACAACCGACATGTCTTGGTTAATATCATATAAAGATTTTTTATTAATTATTTTCCAGTAAAAGACGAAGTTTCAATAGTACGAGTACCAGGTAGTTGTTTTTATTTCCGGTTTATTGTTATCAAATCATTTAAAAGTAAAATAATTTCTATACAGTCAATCCTGGGTTAAAGACCATTTTCGAATTAAAATTTCCATGTTAATAAAGGCCACTCTTTAACAAACATTCGTTTGCTTAATTAAAAAGAACAGAGTAACCCCCAAAGCAATGAATGTAGGTCTACAATTTTTAGCAATGAATTTCCTTTCTTTTTTAAGTAAAAATGACGAAGGAGGAAGAGGATTGGTTTTTAAAGGCAGACCAATTGCAAAAGTAAGTTTTTATTATTTTTTTTTACTTAAAACTTTTTACTATAATGTCTACGAGCATTTATGTGCTTCACAACTCAAAATGTGCATTGTTTTACAATAACAAACACAACATTAATTTAAACTCAATTCTAAATACAAAAAATAATATAACTGAATCTAATTTATTCAAAATGTCATATTGAAAATGATTTGTTAAAGTTTGGTGTAACTACTAATACACATATCAATTAAATGAATTAAAGAAGTAATTCAGAATATAAATGCAAACTGAGCAAAAATCTTATCCTTATATAATTTCTCTTTCTGTCTTAATTTAGTTTAGTTTTATAATTGCATGTATGTCAAACTAGCTCAACTCGTTAACTTTCGGATTGTCTGTGGTATTAACAATGGCCAAAAAGATTGTACAATATAACATGCATATAAAATATCAAAATTACATTGTATTCTGCTGTAGAGATGTTAAAAAAAGATTGCCAGATAAAGGCCTCATGGAAAAGATTAATGCTGCTATAAATAGAACAAAGCACATGGATAACGAGGACCAATTCCTGGTAAAGTATATTTGCCTGTATCTCATTTGGCATTCTCTGAATATCCATAAACATTTCATTTGTGTTTATCTGTATTGTCTTATTTAAGTTTTAATCGAGAAGTATTAACAGTCTTTTCTAATCAGAGATAATGAATAGTGTTACGAAATCATTTCACTTTTGTGAAAAGCTTTGTTTATTCACTTTTTTCGCTTAAAAGTAAACCATTTCTCTATGCTGGTAAAATGAACAAGTCAAGTCCAAGTGAAAGCAGGATTATATTTATTGCAGTAAATCAAAATAATGCATCAATTTTTTTTCCCCTATCAAACAGAAACCAAATTTTTAAAAAATCCTTAACCAACTTAACAAATACTTTTCTCCCAATTACAAAACTAACCTCAACTCAAACCAACTCCAACTCACCCCAAAAAACTCCTAAAAAACAAAAACCCCCCAGCTAAAAAATTTCCCAGTTTAAAATATCCCCTTTCTTTTTGCGAAAGCTAGGGGGGTTTTCAAAAGTAAAAACTTTTGGGGGGCAAACCTTTTTTTGGGCGCGACGTCTCCATTTTTGCCCCAAAACTCATTGCGCGCCCTTTGAATTTGGGCGCGCCCTTTTAAAAAAATGCTGACAATCCCTTAACAATTTTAAAAAAGGGCCCTGAAACGGTTCGGTATACAGCCCTGTTTACAATAAAAACTTTAGTAAAAAAATACAAAAAGGGTTTAAAATTTAAAAATGTTTGAAAAACTCAATAGGATAATAATTATCTGTCCAATAATGCATCTTAATAGTGCAAAATATACTTGCAGTAATAAAGATATATGTACTATATATGGCTTATAAGACCAATACATTTACTACTGATTGACATTTCTATAAACTTATAATACTGACTGATAATTCATTAAACAACAGAAATATAATCTCTCCAGCTTTACAACATACAGCTCAACATTTGAACCAAGTAACCTGTACATAGATAAAGCAGGAAGGAATCCGATTCATAAAATCTGATATGACAAAATTATGCTTTGTTAACAACAATTGAGATGCTGAAGGGCTAAAAATAACTTAAACCTTGTACTTTTAGTCTGCGCGACCTCTTATTGCGCGACCTCTCCTTATTTGGAACTAGCATTCCTGGGAAAGCTGATTCTGCGCGACCTTTCCTATTGCGCGACCTTAAGTGTCGCGCGACCTTTGTCTGCGCGACCTTTCCAAATTTGGAATGAGGTATGCTCATAATCTAAAAATAACTGAGCTGTGCCAATATTCTGGACTGTTAATGAATCAATTGTTTTACAACAAAAATGAGTAAAAGTTAACATAAACATTTTAACCAGCTTAGAAATATTGTCCAGATTTACCATCCTAAAAGAATACTCTTCTAGTAAAAGATTAAGTTCAAATTTCATAACACTCTCCCACCTTTGGACTTTGCTTACTCCGGAAGCAAAACCAATTAATTTACACATGTTAAATTTTTAAATTTGAAACAAACCTTGAAAACTCTTGTTAAGTGAAATTGAAATAATAATAAAAGAATAATATTGGTACTAAACAATACATGTGAAAAACTACTAAGTGTTATATGATATTATGCAGATTAAACATAAGCAAAACTAAACAAATTAACAAATAAGCATTATGGATTTTTTATGAAATATAAAACATAAGTATTCTACTGTTCAATTAGATAAAATCCCATAACAGTTTTCCCTGTCTCTTCAATTTAATTCACAATCTCCAACACACTTTTGTTAAGTTCAGTAAGACATTTTAGAAAGTCACTCATTGCTTGTTTTTTTTCTGTTTGAATATGTTTAATTTCTTTTTGAATGTGCGAAGTTAAAGTTCTTTGATAGTCTTGAATGCAAGCTGCACTATTGTTTATTTCTTCCTGTAATATTAATTGTGTTTTATTTACTTCTTGTGTTAATATGTCAATTTTCTTTTCAATGTTTTCCAAATGTTTTTCAACTGATATTTCGCTACATGATTTAGTGTGAGTCACTTTCTGCCTCTTGGTCGGATGTGGAATGTCCTCATCATTAGATATTACTTCGTAACTGTCCATGTCACCAACAGCACAGTTATTATTCAAAGTTGTTTTTCCAGAAATGCTAGTACAAGTAAGTGTTGGTAAATGATTAATCATTGTGCTAGATAAAGTACTAGTTATTGTAGATGTTGAACAAGCCATTGTTGTCTGAGTGGGTACTGTTTGAATCTGAGGAACAGTACTTGAAGTATCACTTTGGCAGATGCGTTCAAAGAAATTGTCACATTGTTTTACATCCATACTTTTACAGAAGATGACATTTTATACCAGTAAAAGTTCATTTTTATTTTTGCCAGTGTTTTCTTGACCCCTAAATGTCCAGATAGAATAGCATTATGTGAAGCTTTAATAACTTGATTACGTAAAAGTGATGGTAACACAAGTTGATCATAACTGGTAACATTATCTGTTTGAATAAACTTCCTAAACAAAATTCCATCTTTAAGATACAACTGAGACCACTGCAACCATAAACTTCTTGTCGCTGGGCTTTCAGCGGCAACTTTGTCACGTGGCGGTCCAATATCAGAACTAGACAGCCAAAATAAGATTTTGCCTATATCACTGTCTTCTTTCTGCATTTTTATAAGTTCACTTGTGGTATACGAACCTACCCAATTTGAGAACTTATACACTTTTTCAGAAGAAATGTCACCATTTGGGTACAGACCTCCTGCATGTGATGTCTGTGCCATATCCTTCTCTTTGGTGGCATCACTTAAATCAATGTTATCCGCAGCACCAGACTTAGGCGCACGTTTCTTCTCCGTTGCCCTAAGTCTTCTCACAGAAACAAATTTCTCACAACCACGAAATTTCTGTTCAATTTGCCTGAGAAACGCTCCCAGATACAACGCAAAAACAAACAGAAAATTCAGCACTGATGAAGAACAGTCCCTAATTAAGTCGGCAGGAACACCTTTTCCTCTGACTCGCTTGACTTTCTTAGACACCAGTGGAACCACATCATCAAAATCTGCAAGTTCCGACCACTGTTCATGCTTTTTCACACATTCTTTACAACCTCCACACGGAAGCTCACTTAGAATAGAGTGACCACTATAA